TACCTAGCAGATATAGTAATTTTTTTTTACATATATTCATGTGTAAATCAATTAACTGTCAATACAGACTTACACTACACTGGCAACTTCAAACTTTACATGCACTGGAAGCGGTAACCAACGTACTCTTAAATTTTGAAGAGTGAATATAGAACGTCTAAATATTTTGATATGGAGAGTGTATATGTCCCTGACGTCATCGATACTATTTCCGCCTTTATCTCGAAAGTTCTATTCTCACTTACAAGTCAGAGTTATCTTTCTTTGCCCATTGTTTACACACTAGGTAAATAGGGAAAATGACGGTACCGAAAATCTGCAAAATGTGGAATCTGATTTCAAAACAAATTATATATTTAGTATTTGTAGAATAACCTCTGTTATACGTAATAATATCTTGAAAAAATATTAAAAAACAAAAAAGTTGAAAATTGACCAAACACAAGTTCACTTCCGGTTCGGACAGGAAGTACCGGAAACACACGAAAACAACTTCGAAACAAAGAGAATGTCATGATCTAATACTCCTGTAAATTTCACATCTTTACCTCAAACCGTTTCCGAGAAAAATTCCGGACAAAAGTCCATTTAAAAATTGGAAATTCGGCCGAAACTTCGGACCGGAAGTGAATTTTTCAAAAAACGGAATTTTATATAAACTTCATATATCAGTCTACTATCATGTGAAAAATTGTGAAAATCTATTCAACCATCTCTGAGTAATCGAGCTCACAAAATTTGGGAGGAATAATAATAATAATAATAATAATAATAATAACTAGACTCTTGTTGCCATGGCAACAAAAAAGTCTTCCGTTCTTCTAAATCTGTAAGAATTTGCTTTTTTCTGTGTAAAAAACATACATATCATATTTACTGTGAAAGAAAAAAATAACTGGAAAAAAGTCCTTTCAGTAATTAAGGTACTTTGATTTTCATTATCAATCTTGTATAATACATTTGGCACCTATAAGAGATATACGTATATCATTAGCAATTTAAAAAAAAAATGTTTGCAATCATTTCTAAGACAAACAAACAGACGAACGAACACCGTACTATCATAAACTTCACTGTGTGTATGTTTTGGCATAATTGTGATGGTGTTATAAAAAAATATAATGAATTAATTTAGTATCACATTAAACGTAAAGTCACTGAGTTTTGTAAAGTTATAATATCAAGATTTGACAACATACCTATAAGACAAATTATTCAATTACAGTAATTCTTCAGCAATCGATTGATTGATTGATTGATTGATTATACGTATGTTGTTTAACGTCCCTCTCCAGAATTTTTCACTCACATGGAGACGCCACCACTCGCCGGTAGAGACTGTAAATTTTTGTCCTATACTTTGGCATTTATCGCAATTGAGCAGTGGGGAATCTTTTTTATGCCAGCATCTTCTGCGACAAGGGACCTCGATTTATACGATCTCATCGAAAGGACCGGTCTCCACGTCCCACAGTCGAAGTTCATAATACCGAGATATTTTATTTTTTATTTTATTCTATTTTTTCACAAGTTTGTTGCAGCAGATTTACTTAAAGATCATACTTCAAGATCATTTCGAACTCAGGCTACTTAATTGCAGTGCATACAGCGTCAAGTGATTTTGATTGACAGGTCAACACACGTGCACTTCGTGTGATACTTTTTAAGCTGAAAAATATACAGGATGTGACCATGACTGACTATGAAATCAGAAAACATCTAATAAAGAATGGGTGTGATCGATAAAGAACTAATTTTTGGTCTGGATCGGGATTAAGAGGGAATCTCTCCTCTCTCTCTCTCTCTCAGACATGTAAATTGAACATTTCATAATTATAAAATATGAAATTCTGTATACATGTAAATGGTAATGTTATTCACATGTTCCAGATTTAAATCTAAAACGAATATATAATTCAAATTCAAGACGGGGGGGGGGGGGGGGGCTTCAAAGGAATTAGATAATTTTATGAATTACAAGGAAAAGAACGGACGTCAGTTGCATGTACATAATTATATATCATTGCATAAAATTGTGTTCATTCAGATATACTTATCCCACATATCAACAGACTTGTACAATTTTTTTATCGTTTTTTTTTTTTTTTCAAAAGAAACATATAGCGTACCATTATTTCACACACTCTTTAACTCTTTGAGTATTTCACAAGAATCCAAGAATCGCCTTTTCACATCTTTTATAATTCCTTGGGTATATAGAGTATAGATCATGTGTCATAAATAATTTAACCTTTTATCAGATATATATGTAATAACCAAATCTAATCTATAGATTGATTTTCTTTCTTTTCAGTGGCAGATATCAATTTATTTATAAAGGCTTTAAAACAGTACTGTATTACAATTTTCTATCGCTTAATTCCTTTTTTGAGTGTATGTAATATTTTTTAATATCGAAAGTAAAACTCGGAAATCGGGATAATTTCGCATTCAGATCATAGAGAATAATAAATCGTCTGCATTATAGAAGGCTTATAACTATCGTATTCTGAACTTAATATACGAAATAGATAAAACTGCATGCCTGTCCATCACTATAAATGTATATTCAGTGCTTACTTGAATTAGCTACCTAGCATATATATATATTAATTTTTTTTAGATATATTCATGTGTAAATTAACTAACTGTCAATACAGACTTACACTACACTGGCAACTTCAAACTTTACATGCACTGGAAGCGGTAACCAACGTCCTCTTAAATTTTGAAGAGTGAATATAGAACGTCTAAATATTTTGATATGGAGAGTGTATATGTCTCTAACGTCATCGATACTATTTCCGCCTTTATCTCGAAAGTTCTATTCTCACTTACAAGTCAGAGTTATCTTTCTTTGCCCATTGTCTACACACTAGGTAAATAGTGAAAATGAGGGTACCGAAAATCTGCAAAATGTGGAATCTGATTTCAAAACAAATTATATATTTAGTATTTGTAGAATAACCTCTGTTATACATAATAATATTTTGAAAAAATAGTAAAAAACAAAAAAGTTGAAAATTGACCAAACACAAGTTCACTTCCGGTTCGGACAGGAAGTACCGGAAACACACGAAAACAACTTCGAAACAAAGAGAATGTCATGATCTAATACCCCTGTAAATTTCACATCTTTACCTCAAACCATTTCCGAGAAAAATTCCGGACAAAAGTCCATTTAAAAATTGGAAATTCGGCCGTAACTTCGGACCGGAAGTGAATTTTTCAAAAAACGGAATTTTATATAAACTTCATATATCAGCCTACTATCATGTGAAAAATTGTGAAAATCTATCCAACCATCTCTGAGTAATCGCGCTCACAAAATTTGGGAGGAATAATAATAATAATAATAATAATAAAAAGAAACAATACAATCACTATAAGTCTTCCGTTGTGAACGGAAGACTTAAAAAGAAACAATACAATCACTATAAGTCTTCCGTTGTGAACGGAAGACTTAATAAAAAGAAACAATACAATCACTACAGGTCTTCCGTTGTGAACGGAAGACCTAATAATAATAAGAAACAGAGTAAAAACAATATGTTCCCAAACTTCGTTTGGGGAACATAATTACTGCTAATTTGTTTTGACTCTGTTTTCTAACGGTGGTCCAGGTTTTTTGTTATTGTCACCATCCAACCAAAACACTTTCTTGTCAGTAATTGCTCCTTCTCTCAAATTTTAAAAAGTAGCCAAACAAACCATGTTTGTCCCCACTTTAGTCATCATGATATGGATTTTTCAATCTATATAAGCGTAAAGGATCCTGTTTTTCTTGAGTATGAACTAAAATGTTCGTCCTTAACTAATCTTACATACATTAAACATCCTGGGATGCATAATACCATTCATGCTTTGGATGCTACACATGACCTTTATTTTCTTCATGAGTTCAAAGATTACTTCTATTCTCAAACAGCTTAAGTTCAAGTGTTATAAAAAGATAATTTGATAATGCTAGTAGAGTGTATACTATTCAATGCTTCTGATGTTAGTGCAGGTAAATTTTTCATGGAAAAAAAAATTAACAATGACCAACCTTGCTTGCCTAACCTTCGGATGATAGGTATTTAGTTTTGGAAGATGCATTTACTGGAACATTAACATGGCTCAGACTCCAGGATGGAGGTTGGTCGGTCGTGAATGTATAGTGGCAATACACTTCACATGGACGTAAGCAAGCAAATCATTTCTATGATATGATAAACATTTATATCCACAAATTTTCCTTGTAATGAGGGGAGACAATTCTGGCTATTCGCAGCTTGTTTTTGTGAAAATGTCATTTATTAAAACTAACAAATGACTAAAACTACATTTACATATTACATAGACTTATATCACAATTAATTATAAACATTTAACCCCCAGGAAAAATTCTAAAATTTTACCCCTGGACCAAGTTCGAACTCCAGGGTAGGGCTACATGGATCGTTCACGTATTGAAAATTCATAGCCTTTGAAAATATTAATTTTTACTCTTTCTAATCCTACTGAGATGCGTTTATACTATAGCCGAGTATTTGCATGGCATAATCTACTAAAACTCCCAGGATGGATCTTAGCTGGTCTTATTATGAAAGTACATTAAGTTTCATAAACCCTCTGCTCACTTATATAAAATGTTTCTTTAACGCTTATGATTTTCCAAAAGAAATGTATTTTATGAGTTTAGACATTTATGCCATTAAGAGTTATCTCTCTTATCGGAGTATCGATGAACCTTAAACCTTTTTGAATCATCGTTTAATCCATGGTTCTAGTATAAAAATTGTTTGCTTGATTATAAGGACCAGCAAGTCATTTTTAAAACTGATAAAATTAATTCAAGAAACTTTGTTTTGGTCGAACTCAGCACATACCTGATAGAAAGATGCAAATATTCATCATAAATCATATATTTTAAAACTAATCAGATTTTATACATTACTGGGGTATTTTAAGGCGTATTTCCTATACGGCCCTTAACCAACATGTGTATTTTTAAACAGATGAAGCTGTGCGACTAGTCGGCGGGAATACGTCTTTAGAAGGTCGAGTTGAAATACATCATGAAGGTTCGTGGGGAACAATCTGCGATGACGGATGGGATAATGAGGACGCAGCAGTGATCTGCTCAATGCTAGGATTTTCGAGGTGATTTTCTCATAATTATATTTGGAAGCTTTTAACTAACTCACACAAGGTGAGGAAATAAATAAACTGAAATTATATCAAGATGCTTTTATACATCAGACCCGTAGCAACGATTTCAAAAGTGGGGGGGGGGGGCAACTTCCCCCAAAAAATCAGACAAGGGGTCTAACGTCCCAAAATTATCTGACAAGCAAAACAAAAAAGCTAATTTACTGTCCAAATCCTGGAAATTGCCAATGCTCGATCTTACAACATCAAAAAGTGGGGGGGGGGGGGGCAACTAGCATCTGAAGGAAATTTTACTAATAGCAAAATACTATATTCAGAAAAAAGTGGGGGCCGCCACCCACCACCCCACCCCACCCCTTCCCGCGTTCTACTGGCCGGTTACATGTATTGGATAGATATCAAATACTTAACGAAAATATTGTATTTTCACTTTATAAAAACTTGTTTGATCTTGAAAAACTGAACATACTAATTAAGTGTTTCTGCTCTGCTCTGAAAAGTGAAGGGATGAACTGAGCGGATCAGAAACACTTTGTTGGTAAAGATGGCAAGTACCATTTAAAAAGATTTACATGGTTACAGTAACTCATATGTACCAATAATTTTTCTTATGTGTGTGTAAATGATGCTATTTTTGTATGTAAAAGACGCATGGTCACTTTAATTATATTATATTTATCAGAATCGGATTTTGTTCTTCATTTTCTGAATTATATTACGAAAAATTTTGTACATTAGAAACAACTCCATTGCAAAAGGCGGAGGATCGTTTCCTAATGGTGTGGGTCCAATATTGCTTGATGATGTCGGTTGCACAGGAAGTGAGCGGTTCATTTCACAATGTCGGCACCGTGGCTGGAATAGACATAACTGTCAGCATAGTGAGGACGCTGGGGTGTCTTGTAGATTAAAAGAAAGCAGTGTAAACGGTATGGATCACTGTTTAAGAAACACACAATTCCAAAACAAAAATGATGTGTTAAGCAGTTAGTGATTTCTAATTTTTTTTCCTAGTATATAAGCAGGATGAAAATGTAAGTCAAAATTGTATCTCAGTTGTAGCATTTTTAATTTTCATTTTTATGGCAAATTCCTTTTTGAATAAAGCGGCTATCCCTTTTTACGGAAATAGCTTCATCAATAAATCGAAATAATATACAAGAAGACGATGTAGTTTAGATTAAAATTTCTATAAATTATTCCTCGAATTAAAATGGAGCCTCAGTGGGGAGGGTTATCAAATGATTGTTTTTCATTGATTATTAATATAAAAGGAACATCTTCTTAAAAGTAATACGAGAGTTGTCCGGTATTATCGTAAACAACACACTTTTATTGATAAAAATAATGCGCGCAGTAAGCTGAAATTTCAGCAATTGTTTATTTATCATATTTGAGTACTTTATATATATATATATATAAATGCGGAACGTGTACATATTTAGAAGAGGGAAATAGAATCCAACTTAAATCAGGAATGGAAATTAGAACCAACTCACCAATGAACTGTAAATTCGAAAACGTTATCTACTGTGCAATCTGTCCGATGTGCAAAGAATTCTATATTGGACAAACGGGAAAACTAAATGCCCGGGTTCGTATACACAAACAACAAATTAAAGACCCTTGTGTGCGTAATACACAATGTTGTGAACATTTTGCAAAATGCGGCAAAGGAATATTTTTATAAACTTCCCAATGGAAATGAAAATCTACATTTGGCAAAAGAGGACTACTTTATCAAACTCTTTAAACCAAAACTTAATGGAAAATGATACTTTATTATATAACATATTGTAAGATTTTATGCATATTATGTGTTCAAGTTAATGCAATATTTATACATTATCTAATACGGCAACTTTACGCTACCTTGATCTATTATGACGTCACAATGAACTTTTGCTTTTGGACGTTACTAGGTAACCTACCTGACATTTGTATAACTGCCTGAAGAGCCTAACATGGCGAAAGCGCTTGCAGAAAATATTTTGTGATATTATATATATATATATATATATATATATATATATATATATATATATATATACATACATATGTATGTATATATATGTATCTATGTATCTATAAATGATAAAAGAAGACTAAAACAAAATTATTACTAGATCTTTAGGATAATTTATATTGATTTGCAAGAACATTGAAAGGAAAAGATGACGATAACGAACAGTGATCGATCCCAAAGATTCATATATGTGTAAAGATTGCCATGGGGATAAGGGATGGGCCAATGCTGGGGTACACAGTTTGGCATAAGAATAAACTTTATTACGAACGAATTTAAATAAACTTACTGTGTAAATTTGAGATAATGGTTGCAGTACAATATTTCACTCGTCCACAAAAACCGTACTACAGTACATTTTATGTTTGTATTTCACCTTTTATAAGGTTGTGGAACTGCTGATATCTTGATAGTAATGGACGACAGTGGCAGTGTCGGATCAGATAATTTCATCAAAATGAAAACCTTTGTGAAAGACGTCATCCGGGGTCTAAATTCAGTGCTATTTAGATTTGGTGTGATTACTTTCAGTGGAACTGTGACTAAGAAGTTTGGGTTTGCTGATTATGTTCACCTCCCTGACATTTTATCTGCTGTGGACACTATTGCTTTTAGATCTGGAGGCTCCACACAGACCGGTGATGCTCTCAGATATGTAAGACAATCGATATTTAACGTCAGGCGGCCAGATGCTGCTAATATTGTCATTCTATGTACGGATGGAAAATCTACCAATTCCGATGAAACAAAGCAACAAGCAGCTCAACTTCGCAGTCAAGAAGTACGAATATTTGCAATTGGAGTTGGTAGTGGTCCAGATACAGAGGAACTTAAAGCAATAGCTTCTTCACCCAGTAATGAACATGTGTTCCAAGTTTCTTCTTTTACAGCCCTTCCACAAATTCAGAATGCAGTGCAAAACAGAACATGCGAAGGTATTTCTTTATAATGGTTTTATTGAATTACGAGATTGTTAAACTATGAAGAATATTTTTTTTGTCATTTCAAAGATTGTAAAAAGTTCTTTGGAACAGATAATTCATAAAATAGATTTACTGCAATTTACACAAAATGTCTATTATAGCGTCTGTCGATGGGGGGTTCAGTGAATGGTCTACATGGACACAATGCAGTAGGACTTGTGGTTCTGGAACGAAAACAAGAAGTCGTACTTGCACTAACCCAGTGCCAACAAATAATGGTCGAAATTGTACAGGACGGTATTGGGAAAATGTACCATGCACGATAGCTGGTTGCCCAGTCGATGGACAATGGGGTGATTGGACGGCTTGGAGAGACTGTAGTGTATCATGTGGAAGCGGATATCAACAAAGAATCAGAAACTGTACAAACCCAAGCCCGCAAAATGGAGGTCTTCAATGCCGTGGAACAAATGCAGAGACACAAACATGCAATTCTAGTCCCTGCCCTATTCATGGCGGATTCAGTTCTTGGAATAATTGGAGCTCATGTTCAAAATCTTGTGGACTGGGATCAAAATCTAGAGGTCGTTCATGTTCTAACCCAACTCCGCAGTACAATGGAAGAAACTGCACTGGTGATTTCCATGAGACTGAGGATTGTCTTATAACACTCTGTCCTGTGGATGGAGGTTGGAGTTTATGGTCAACGTGGACACAATGTGACGTTTCATGTGGAGGAGGAATGCGTGTACGAAGAAGAACGTGTGATACACCCTTTCCACGCTACGGCGGACAATCCTGTTCTGGAGAAAATCACGAGGAAAAAGACTGCAATACAATGTCATGTCCAGTAGATGGTGGGTTTAGTCAGTGGAGTGACTGGAGTTCTTGTTCACAAACATGCGGCCTGGGGCAAAGGACTAGAAATCGCAGCTGTACTAACCCATCGCCAATGTATAATGGAAGGAACTGTAGTGGTATTAACAATGAAAGAGAGGAATGTCTCATAAAGAAATGTCCTGTTCATGGTAACTGGGCTATATGGAGTACCTGGACACACTGTAATGTTTCTTGTGGAGGGGGAAGGCGTGAAAGAAACAGACTTTGTAAGAATCCCCAACCAAGGCATGGAGGTCGGCCTTGTTTTGGTGAAGAGAAAGAAAGTATGGATTGTAATACGAACCCTTGTCCGATTAATGGTGGATTTGGCGAGTGGAGTAGCTGGGGTTTATGTTCACAATCATGTAATAGTGGATATAGGACAAGGTACAGGAATTGCATAAACCCCACGCCGTTGTTTGGTGGCTCTAACTGCTCCGGTACATGGGAAGAAACCCAAACATGTAATGATCATAACTGTCCAGGTATTTGAAATTTTATGTTGAGATAAATCAGAAAAAGTCTTATAATGATAATACTAGTAATGAGTATATCTATATATTTTGCAAAGTGAAATAAACATTCATTAGTTATAATATTTTAAGTTCACGGGGGATTTGGTGACTGGACACAATGGTCTGCCTGCAGTAGGACATGTGGATCTGGAAAAAGGCAAAGATACAGGGATTGTAATAATCCATTACCAGCTTTTGGCGGTAGAAGATGTTCTGGCGATTTTGTGGGAGAAGAAGATTGCATAGTTAAAAATTGTTCAATAAACGGCGGATTCTCAGATTGGGGCACATGGTCAACATGCTCAAAAACATGTGGAGGAGGATTGATATTCAGACAGCGATCTTGTAATGACCCACCTCCAGCATTCGATGGGTTAAACTGTACAGGCAGTTTTGTCGAATCTGCCTTGTGTCAAAGTAATCCATGTCCAATACACGGACAGTTTGGATCGTGGGAAGAATGGTCTCCTTGTTCTAGATCATGTGATGGTGGAACCCAATCTAGAGTGAGGAAATGTAATAACCCATATCCACGATATGGAGGTCAGAATTGTACAGGTGGCTTTTCTGAAAGCAGAAGTTGTAACTTGTATAAATGCCCTATTGATGGCAGCTTTGGCGATTGGGCGAGATGGACAGATTGCACAGTAAGTTGCGGCGGTGGAAAAAAATCTCGAACTCGGTTTTGTGATTCACCGAGTCCATTATTTGGTGGTAGAAACTGCAATGGTAGTTTTTCTGAAGAAACAGTTTGTAAAACTTTCCCTTGTCCAATCGATGGTTATTTTGATGAGTGGGAAGCTTGGACTGCATGTTCCCGTACCTGTGGTGGGGGGATACAAACAAGAAATCGGGTGTGTTTTGATCCAAAACATGGAGGCCGTGCTTGTACTGGGCATTTTGTAGAATCTTTAAATTGCAATACCCAAAACTGTCCCATTAACGGTAAATTTAGTGAATGGGAGACATGGACACACTGCACTCAAACTTGTGGAAGAGGGATAAAGAAAAGATCAAGATATTGTAACAAGCCAATACCAATGTATGGCGGAAAAAATTGCAGTGGAGACTTTACAGAAGAGAGTGTTTGTAATATCAATCCATGTCCGATTGATGGAAATTTTGCAGAGTGGAATGAATGGACAGATTGCTCACAAACCTGTGGGAGTGGTAAACAATATCGTAGACGTACTTGCTCAAATCCATATCCGCAATATGGTGGAAATGATTGTATTGGAAAATCCATGGAATCCATGAATTGCAACACGTTTTCGTGTCCTATTAATGGACGGTTTTCGTCCTGGAGTGATTGGAGTAGCTGCACTGCCAGTTGTGGCGGTGGGACATCAAAGCGAGTAAGAACATGCAACAATCCACCTCCTCGGTATGGAGGTAATAATTGCTCGGGCGAATTTGAAGAATTAGTAATGTGCATGAATAGTTCTTGTCCGATAAATGGGGGATTTGGTGAATGGAGTGTTTGGTCTTCTTGCTCCAAATCTTGTGGTACAGGTGAACAAACTCGTCAAAGATTTTGCGATAATCCAAAACCACAGTTTGGAGGAGAAAATTGTAAAGACATATTTGAAAATAAAAAAGATTGCAATACACAGCCATGTCCTATTGATGGACTGTTTGGTGATTGGCAATCGTGGAATACATGTCCAGTTAGTTGTGGAGGCGGAATAAGAAATAGAACAAGATTATGTGACTCACCATCTCCATCCTTTGGAGGAAGAAACTGTATTGGACATAATGTAGAAGAGTCCAAGTGTAATGAAAATCATTGTCCTGTTGACGGAGGTTTTGCTGAATGGAATGAGTGGTCACAATGCACACGAAGCTGTGGCAGTGGTGTAAAGATTAGAAATAGAACATGTGATAATCCTTTGCCACAACATGGTGGGAGGCCATGTATTGGACATTTTATTGATTATACAAACTGCAATTTTCAACTGTGTCCAATTGATGGTGGTTTAAGTGAATGGGGATCTTGGTCATCTTGTTCTGTGAGTTGCGCCGGAGGTATTTCAAAGCGATTACGCTTTTGCACAAATCCAATTCCAAGATACGGTGGGAAAAATTGCTCCGATAACCTTACTGAAACAAGGATATGTCAAACAAATTCTTGCCCGATTGACGGTGGTTTCAGTGAATGGAGCATGTGGTCAACCTGCTCAAAATCATGTGGGCTAGGTTCGAAACGTCGAGAGCGGCAATGTGACATGCCAGTTCCAAAACATGGAGGAAAAAATTGCAGCGGTCTATTTTCTGAAAATGAGTCCTGTAAAATTGGACCTTGCCCCATACATGGTGGTTTTAGTAATTGGGGAATGTGGGGAGACTGTTCCACTACATGTGGTGGTGGTAGAAAGACAAGAGAACGAAAATGTAACAACCCAGTGCCTGCTTTCGGAGGAAATAACTGTACTGAATCATTTTCTGAGGATATTGAGTGTAACACATTTTTTTGTCCGATAGATGGACAGTTTTCTGAATGGAGTGAATGGTCAATTTGTTCTGCTAGCTGCAATGGAGGATCTAAAAATCGAACACGCACCTGTTCCAGTCCACCTCCTAGATACGGTGGAAAACCATGCAATGGTCTTAGCACTGAATATGGTGTATGCAACACTCATCAATGCCCTATTGATGGTAAATTCACGGAATGGGGAAGTTGGACACCTTGTTCAGTTACCTGTGGTGGAGGTTTATCAAATAGAACACGTTTTTGTGCAAACCCAAGACCTCAGTATGGTGGCAAAAATTGCTCTGGTTTATTCAGTGAATCCCAAATGTGCATGGAGAATCCATGTCCTATAAACGGTGGTTTTAGTGAATGGAATTTATGGTCAGAGTGTTCCACATCATGCGGAGGAGGGTTAAAAATAAGGAAAAGGACATGCAGTAACCCTTCTCCACAATATGGAGGTCTGAATTGCACAGGTCAGAACAAGGACACGGAAAATTGCAACACATTACCATGTCCAGTAGATGGTGGATTTGGAAATTGGGAATTTTGGTCTGTCTGCACCTCAAGTTGCGGAGGAGGCACTAAACGAAGAGAAAGACAATGTAATTCACCAATACCAGCCCACGGTGGAAAAAATTGCGATGGCAATTATTCTCAATTACTAGAGTGTAATGAATTTCCATGTCCAATTAATGGTGGATTTACTGAATGGACCGCTTGGTCTCAATGCTCACGTAGCTGTGGAGGAGGTGTGAAAACACGTTTAAGAACATGTACCAACCCATCCCCACAAAATGGTGGAAAGCCGTGTAATGGTCATTTTATTGAATCTCTAAATTGTAACGTTTATCATTGTCCTGTTGACGGAGGTTTTTCACTTTGGGGTGCATGGTCATCATGTTCTGTCACTTGTGGTGGAGGAAAATCAAAAAGATCCCGCTCATGTTCCGACCCATCTCCTTTATATGGAGGTAAAAACTGCACTGGTGACATGGAAGAATTTACAAACTGCAATACACAAAACTGTCCCATCGACGGAAGATATAATGATTGGAGTAGCTGGTCAGAATGTTCCTTAACGTGTGGAGGTGGCCTAAAGGCAAGATCACGACGATGTAATAATCCCTCGCCACAGTATGGCGGGAAACAGTGCAGTGGCAGTGATAATGAAAGTTCATCATGCAATCAACAGCCTTGCCCAATAAATGGTAAATTCAGTGAATGGTCGACATGGTCGACATGTTCCAGAACATGTGGCGGTGGCACAAAAACAAAGTCACGCGAATGTAATAACCCTATTCCAGCATTCGGTGGGGAAAATTGTACTGGGCCGTTCCACAAGTCTACCGATTGTAACACACTCCCTTGTCAAATTGACGGAGGGTTAAGTATGTGGAGCGAATGGACAATATGCTCCGTAAGTTGTGGAGGAGGTGTTCAATTAAGAAACAGGTCATGTACAAATCCAGTTCCACAATATGGTGGGCTGGAATGTGATGGTGAGATGACACAATCACTCCTTTGCAACACACATGAGTGTCCTGTAGATGGAAAGTTCTCCGAATGGGGGTCTTGGTCTACCTGCACTGTATCTTGTGGAGGGGGCAACACAACACGCATTCGCAGTTGTAATAACCCTGTCCCGCAGTATGGAGGAAAAAATTGTATTGGTGAATCTGAACAGATAAAGACTTGCAATTCTGTTGAATGCCCAATAGATGGAGGATTCAGTGAATGGGGTGTTTGGTCAGAATGTTCTGTAACATGTGGGGGAGGGACTACAATTCGTAGAAGATTCTGTTCGAATCCAACTCCACAATACGGAGGTAAACTTTGCCTGGGATCATCAAATGAAACCAGAGTATGCAACACAGAAAGCTGTTCAAGTGAGTACATGTATTTTTTCAGTAAAATTTCTTACAAAAACATTGCTTTGGTTATAATACATCTTTTTGAATATATTGTTTTCTTTCATCTTTAGTTTGTGAAAATCCTAACACTGAATTTGAATGTCATAACAAAGCACACTGCGTTGATAAAACGTTTGTTTGTGATGGCTACCCAGATTGTGATGATGAGAGTGATGAATCAGAGCAAGCCTGTAAGTTATGGTTTCTGAAACGTTCTACTATCTCTTACAATAAAACAAGGAATTGGGGAGAGTATCGAAATATTTGCCATTTCAAATGACTAATTTTGTTTTTCCTATAGAGCTCTTTATGAAACGATATAAGGACTTTACTGGTCATGACGTAAAGTTTAAATACTTTAGCCACATTGTTACCACAAAAGAAATACCCAGTTTTACTTCTCTCCCACGATAAAGTTGGTGAATGCAACATGCAGTGTTATCTAACAAAGTCTGGGGACTACAAAATACCTGCTAAACGGGGAATCAAGTGTTTCACAAACATGCATATCATATTTTATTTTTTAGAAATACATGTAGTAATGTTAATTCACAGGGACGCTCCCTTGTGTCGCATAAGTTATAAATCAACAAATTGTTATCTAAAATATCTTTCTGAAAAGGAACACTTTCACCCCTACCAATGTTATTGTGATTCAAATTTAAGACACGTGGTCTAGGTTTACCCATTCAAAGGTTATAGGATAGAGATGAGTTTATAAATAAGATTAGCAGTAAATAGGAAATTGCTATAGTCTGTTTCTTTTAAAATCATGTCCTATGAAAAATGTGTTTCCAAACCTTTCTGAAAGATTTTAATGATTTTAAAAAAGGAAAGGGGGAGGGGTTAAAATCACAATCTACTTAATCTTCGCTTTTTTGATTATTTAGTAATATTTACGGCGAAAATTGAAGCCCAGTAGCGACAATTTTTCTAAAATGGTCCAACAGGCTGGTAGAAAAAAGTGTAATAGCTTCTACAATGATAAACCTTTGTTTACATTAAAAGGCTATTGTTATTATTGCGCACAGCGGATCTTACCACGAACAATGGACCAATCGCTGAATGAATAGCAACGTTTACTGGATAACTACATGTTTACATTTTACTTCGAACACGTGGTTCCGGTCAATCTACGATCCGATATTAAATGGACTGCAAAAACAATTGAAAAAAAAATATTGTTTTTATTTAAAAAAGAAATACAGAGATTAGAAACCAAGACGTTTATTACTTGTTGTTTTGTTGTTAACTAGAAAACGTACATAATAAAATGTAGTATGTGCCATGTTCAGAACACCAGCGCTTCATTGATAAGGAGAACGAGCAGCATCTATTACTGTTAGGCATGTAAATGGACAACAAAGTTTTTTTTATAACATCGGTGATTATATATGTCTCTGGCCAAGGAATCCACCTGACAATTGTATTCACCGATAGTACAACAAAGGAATACAGACGCAAATCACCTTACAGTATGGCTTTGAGAAACCTAGAATTCCACGTCTATTTAAGAAATGAATTGTTTGTAATTGGGCATAAAAGTTATAGAATAAAAATGGAAATCTTGCTTTTCATCTACGAAATGCATGGAAGAAATGTTTCCGATCGCCTGTAGATTTTGGGGGGTTTTTTTCCAAGCGTAAATTCTTGTAGTATCCGTAGTAACCAATAATGCCAACTCATTCAGCTGGTTTGTCAGTTTAAATCATGAATAAACCTGGTTTGCTAATCTGACGCCAAACATAAAGTCCCAATTCCCATCCAAGTATACTGTAGATCCCTAAATTTACGCGAGGAATTAATTATCGCGGAATTTCGCGAGAAACTACGGAAGCCGGTTGGTGCCAGGTAGAAAAAATATTTTATCTGGCGGCCGCCAGATAACTTATCTGGCGGCCGCCAGAAATTATGTGGCGGCCGCCAGAAACTTATCTGGCGGCCGCCAGATAATTATTTGGCGGCCGCCAGATAATTTCTGGCGGCCGCCAGATAGGTTTCTGGCGGCCGCCAGATAAGTTATCTGGCGGCCGCCAGATCTTTTTATCTGGCGGCCGCCAGAAAATTATATGGCGGCCGCCAGATAAGTTTCTGGCGGCCGCCAGATAGGTTTCTGGCGGCCGCCAGAAACTTATCTGGCGGCCGCCAGATAAAATATTTTTCTACCTGGCACCTACCGGCTTCCGTAAGAAACAACACTCGCGAAATAAAATTACTCGCTTTTATTTTAATGGTGCTCAAAAACGTGTTAAATCTCTTGAACAACCATCCAAACTCGAATTATTGTATTCGCAATTTGACGTTAAAGACCATTTCGCGATAATAAGTACTTGTGAAAAAATAAGGAATTTACAGTATTTGTGAAAAAGAATTACATAACTGCAGAAAATAATGTCATTAAGAATACATAGAAGTTTGAATGAATTCAAGAGAGATTGAAGTACATTTCTACTACATGTAATACTGTAAAGTGGTGAAAACTGAAACGCAAAATAACTTTTCTGTTTACCGTGTCTTCACGTGCTAGTCACTTCCTAGCCACATTTCCGTGAATAATTTGTAAAGTTTACCTTATCTCGCTGTAGACTCGCGAAATCTTGCCAGGTATCATAATTTGCAGAACACCGAAAAATAAAAGATTCCGAACACATTAGTAAGGGTGACTTTTAAATCAAATTCTTAAAAAATGATATTAAATGCAACATAATATGCACTTGCCCTCGAAACGTGAGGAGTTTAAAACTATCGAAAAACCTGCGAAATAATTCAGGGTTAGGGTCAGGATTAAAATGTTAATTGCTTTGTTACACAAAAGGTACGGAAAACAAGATATTTCTTTATGAAATTATTTTGCTTCGAAAATTATAATTACAGGTATGTATTATTGAAATCGGGGCTGAGGCACCAAGAGGGTTGCCCTGCTCGGATAATTTTACCAAAATATACCATAGAAAATAATTAATGTTTTGTTGTTCCCCTAAGTAATAAGGTGAGGAAACATTTTGGGGGGAGTTTTTAATATCTGATCCATTATTGCTTTAACGGTCTGTAATAAATTAAAATTAACCAACTCTTGTTGACAACAAGATGTGTTTGTGAAACACTATGCACCCGCCGGCAACAAAGTTCGAAAAAGCTATTTTTAGCATATAGGTCACAGTCAAGGTCACAAGGTCATTGACCTTGGTGTCATTTGAAATAACTTAATGAGTGGAGTATGCATACCAAATATGAAGTCTCTCTCTCTCTCTCATGGTTCAAAAGTTATGGTGAAGGTTAAAGTTGACAACAGACAGACAAACAGACAGACAGGACAAACACAATATGCGCCCCCGATCTATCGATCCGGGCGCATAATAAATTTTAAATAATAAACCCACTAAACATTTGTTCTCAATTGCACAATTGGATAAACACGATAAAAATGTTACGGTCCACATACATCTGTTCCAACTCCCCTTTCAATCTTTAAAATACCTCTCAAAATTTCTTTTTGCATGATTGATCTGTCACAAATTACTACAATCTCAGGAAGGCCCGGTTTGGTATATTAAAAAGTTGCAAAATCCAGTAATCAATGAATAATGCACTATTTTTTATTTGCAAGTAAAAAGGAAGGCAAATTCGCTGAGATTTAAATTAATCATTACAACATCAATTCATTATGGATTCTAAAAAGAATGTTTATAAATATTCTATTTCAATTACTATCAACACTATTACGAAGACCTTACAGGTCAAGAGCTTGACGTTGTAAGGATACTATTCGATAAGAGGACGACCAGTCTGTCTGTCCCTATTTATGAACCGATTAGTCGTCGGTGCTGTATATTGCAGTTTGCTAACTTTAATTAGCGCGGGGGAAGATAACTCAGTTACTTCCAATGTGTATTAGTATTTATTATAAATTTCTTGACATGGAAAGCGACAGCACTTCACAAACAGTAAAATCTTTATGGTTTTCTGCAAAGAGCTCTGAAACTCTTTTCATTTCATTATATATTAAATCTATGCTTAAAACTTTTTCCTTATTTCATTTATTTATTTTTTGTTTTTTTTTTGTGTTTTTTTTAATGTTATTATAATAGAATAAAATACATGTATTCATTACTATGTCGAAATTCAAAAGATATTTAAATTTGTAGCTTTTGAAAACTTAATTCTTTTACAGGTAATCTTGGAAAAACTAAAGGCGGGTTACCACCCTGTCCCGAAGGACTGTATAGATGTCCTAATTCGATGTGTAAACCAAGCCAACTTGATTGCTAGTTCAGTAAAATGAGAACTTTTGTAAATGCAAAAATGTTTTTGAATGATTTTCTGTTGTGTAACTTTGTATAAAAAGTTTTAATCAGAACTTATTTTAGAAGTAAGTTATCTTTTGTTTTTAAATTGAGCAAAGTCAACTTTTAGTGTGCATTATATTTACTGAAGTCAGATGAATCTTGTATCAACTGCAAATTTCAAGTAATTGAGTATTACATTTATTTGTTTTCCTGAGTTGTGAATTGAATACAATACCATTGATTCGATAGAAATCAATGTCATTTCTCGTGTAATAACATTATTAACTCTTATGTTGGAAGGACAGTTTTCAATACCATAAACTTAGAGTGGATTTAAATCAAAATTTTGATGGCGAATAACTAAATTTCTTTTTTAGAACATCTTTTGAATATTCAAATAAAAAAATAAAATAAATAATTGTTTATTCCATCTTTAAAATTACTTTAAAATGTTACAAGCGTTTGAAATTTCGACTTCAGTCTAATCTCAGTTTATGATCTTTTAGAAGAATTAATTCACTGAATAGCTCTAACAAAAAATGCTATAGTTTACTATAGTTAATTATAGTTTACTTTTATAACAATGTTTTTTCACTATAGTAAATCAAAGCATTTTTACTATGGATTTAAGATTGTTATATTTTTTATTCTTCAATTCACACATGCACATTTTGTTATATTAAATGGAAGTATTATTTGTATATTCACATAGTATTTCCAAGATTTACATAACTGTTAATGAATTTAAGAGATTTTGAGCTTTGAAATCTTTAAAAAAAAAAAAAAAAGAAAGAAAGAAAGAAAAAGATCTAGAACTAAGTTTCATAGTAAATCATTTTTTTTTACTTCAACTATTGTAAACTATAGTTTATGTTAGGGAGATGCTAGTCGTCAATCTGTCTATATGTGTGTTCGTCCGTCTTTTTAGAAATGTATTTTAATGTCACCTTGCATTTAGGTAACACGTATGTAAGTGGACTTACTCAAAACAACATAACTAAATTTATTTTTTTTAATTCTGATTTTGATAAACGATGTAGCTATAGCTACTTGAACAAGAGTATTAATACATGGAAATCTTATCATATTTTACCTCTATATAATTAATTAAAATTTGGTCTTATTATCAATTAAAATTAATTTGGTTTGCACGTACGACTACACAAAGCTTAGGCTGTTCTTTCTGTTTCTTTATGGGTTTATGATTTCGGTGAATAGTGATATTAAATATTTTTCAAATGTACTTCTTAATTTAAAAAAAAAACTGTACAGAGTTAGAGAATATTAATTTACATGTCCACAGTGTTCACGGTTCTGGAATTGTGAAACAAAAAAAGTTATCGAATTAAAGTTAGGCTTTTTCTCTTTGACTATTATACGTAAACCATTCGAGCTAGAGTTTTTGAATTGTACAAGTTATGTTTCATTGAATTAAAATTCAATATTATATATATATATATATATATATATATATATATATATATATATATATATATATATATATATATATATATATATATATATATATATATATATGGCAATTTCTAACCGGTTAACCGATTACTCGGTCGGAACGATGGAAATCGGTTAGAAAATCGGTAATCGGTTAGTCGAAAAAAATTTAAAATATATGCAAAATTGAACGCAATCTTCTTAAAATTCATTTTTAAGAAAAGAAAATTCTTCCTTAAACATTGATAATTTAGCGTTTTCAAATATTTATTTAAGCTGATTTGGAGGTAATTTTTGGCTCTCCGGATTAAAATTGTGGGGTAATTGATCAGTCTGTGATGTGTAAATTACTGTTAAAACACCATGTAGTTGCCCAGACTGTCCTGTAATTCTTTAATGATAATAATCACCGTTGAGCACTTTGAATTGGTGTGTGTATCTTTTGCAGTTATCTATCAAATTAAATTATTAAACAAACATTGTAAATTAAGTGATAGAGTTTATACTTAGTTTTGATTATGGTGACAATGAAGAATGAACTTGTGTGACTACATGTAGCTCTGGAAAATCAACAACGATTTTTCAGGCATATTTATGGTTTTTCTGAATTTTTTCTTGTCTATTGAAATAACAATATATGCATGTAGTTTTCTGATAAAAAACAAGGACAAATAGAATGTTTTTAACCTCTAGCATCTTTTTTTTTTTTAAGTCTTCTTGTGCCTAGGAAAAGAGCTACTTGAAAAAAAGTCAAGAAAATGTGTAGTTTGATACGATTAACCGGTTAATCGGTCGGAACGTCTTGCGGTTAACCGATTAGGAATTCTGTATTCGATTAACATCCCTAATATATATATATATATATATATATATATATATATATATATATATATATATATATATATATATATATATATATATATATATATATATACATATCCCTTTGATTAGGTCGATCCATAGATATATCGACTTCACAGAAAAGCATATGCGACTTTACAGAATAGCATATCGACCGAGCACGAAGTGTGAGGTCGATATGCTTTTCTGTGAAGTCGATATGTCTATGGATTGATCGAATTTAAGGACTACATTTGTTATATTATTTTCTTTGATACAAATGAGACTTAAATGATGTTTTAACCATTATAGTATATTTGCACGTTTTCATTATCTGACATCAATATTCACCACAAAATTACAACTCTATCTCAGCGCCTTTGCATAATATTATAGTTTATAGTAACATTTGTGCAGTTGTTAAGGCACGGTAGCTGGCTGTACCAAGGTGATGTTAACTTGTGTTTTCTGGACATGGACATTCTGTTCCAATTCGATAGAACGTGGGATATCATCAATTCCATCCGATTCATCGATTGATTCTTTCATGAGAACTTCTTCCTGTGAATTTGAGAGGGATAATGAATTGTAATCTTGCAAGTGGCTCGAACTAGTGATTGTGTCCGTTATCTTTCTTCCAGTTCATTTCTCGGAGATTTTCGGCAACATAACATTCTTAGTGTTCTCATCGGTCTTCCGTTAATATGTTTTAAGAGAACTTTCAGCTTTGTGTCCAGTAACCGACATGATTTGTCGACTTGGAATTTGTGCCGAATCTAACACACTTACTGTGGCTCGACATGAATGATTAGTGTAGCCTTCATTTATCCCAGCACTAACACAAATTCTCTTCATATACAGTACCATTTCATTATGACTCACAGGGATGTTACTGTAGTAAATATTGTCTTTAGGAACACTTCAGGCTGTTGGAATAATCATGGGCAATTAGGATTGAGTCGTCGAAGATATTTCACAAAACTTCTTACAAGACATCGGTCACTTTCTGAATTTATACAACATAAATTCTAAAATCTGCTGTGTAACTGATTATCTGATTAAACTTAGGGTGATTATCATAATTATAGTAAAAATAAAATTATATATCCTTTCTTTTACATTTCAAAGATTTACCTTTAATCTCATACATCCTTCCATCGGATGATTTATCATAATTTTCTTGATGATTCTTTGTCTTTTCATCTTATGTTTTGTAAACAAACAGATTTCCCTCGCCTTTCTTTAATACAAAGTCTTGTCGTGTTAGAGAAGAAAGGTTTTCTCTGCCTAGCCGGCCAAAGTGTAACATAATGTCCATAAAGACCTTAAACAAACTAGACAAAATAAATCTAGGGTGAATTCACATGCATCGGATACCTTAGTACTTCAGGTATCACACCGGTAATTGACCAATCAAAATGAACTCAGTTGTAGTTCCATACATAATAAAAGAAATATTTTTTCATTGTGAGAAATTTTTTTTAATTTCCCTTATTCTATTTTTACATATTTGGTATCTGTGCTTAGGATATTTTATGTACTTTGTAAAATATTAAAGGTTTTTGACAGGAACTATTTCTTTCGGGACATAGGAGGCCACTTCCTGGGGTGCACACAGGATGTTTATAAACACATTGAATACACGTGGTTTTGAGGGTATTCCTGTTTGCGGATGGAAAAAATCAGAAAATGCCGTGTAGGTACCCTATTTTTTGGTGTCAGCTGATGTGACTGGTAACGTTTAACACTTCCTGCTAAATATGTTTTCATGCATTCGAATACCTGATTTTTAATGATTTTTTAATCTATATAGAATTACATAGTGAAAACAATTACCGGTGTGATACCTTGAAGGTGATTGTGTAAAATCATCTACACCCATATCAAAGGCAGTTTTATTTTTATAAAGGCATATTTCAACAAAATATGTCATTTTATGAACTTTCTGTGTGAAAGCACATATTTTTAAATTTAGAAGCAGGGTTGACATTAATTTATTCAGATTTCTATGTAAAATACTAATAATATGTCTTGTTTTACCCTCAAAACTCCAAATTATGACTTTCAAAGTAGGATTATGCATCTGACATGTAGAAAGAAGTTAGAAAATGTTGGGGTTTTTTTTTTATTTTAGATGACTTTAAACTCTGTGCACCACCTGACCGCAGTCAATTATAGTGTCTACAGACTTTGCCGTAAAAGCACTTTAGGCTGATTTTTTCAAGAAAAGACTAATTCTGGGTTTGCGAATGAGTTTTCAACAAAAGCGATAACTGCGATAAAATGTGAAGAAGCAAAACATGTTTTTAAAAAGTGTTAAATTTTACAGAGACTGGGTTTACTTTCATTTTATTCACCTTAAGTGATTCATTTATCACTGGAGTGGAGGAATAGAAATAATGAAATGAGTTAAATTTGTCTAATAAAAGTAATGCACAAATAAAATTTATTAAGAATTTTTCAAAAATAAGAAGCTTATAATTATGACCAAAAATGCATAAATACTGTCAGGGCATGAGAGTGAATACTTATTCTGAGTCCCAACCATGCATCATACATATAGTACAGAATGTCACTTAGCACTATGGTATGCCTGATATGGTTCTCTAGACTTTTTCCATGCTTTCGCAGCTGACATTCAAGATTTTTCAGTTTGCCGGAGAATGTTTTTTGTCATTTTACCACTTTTATGTAGGTGTTGACCCTCTCTTTTAAATTAAGTCTCAGTCAGGATGTTTATTTTAGCATGATTTGTTAAGCACATTAATGTACTGAAATATTAATAAATTACAAATTAAAGTGATGAAGAAATTTGACATATTTACACAATCAAAATATCAGAATAACCATAATTCAGCTAATAAAGTGCCCTGTTCTTCTTTTGTCACTTCCT